AGTAATCGTGAAAACACACGTAAAGAGTACGAGTACTTTTCAAAAAAAAAATGTTACTTAATATAATTGATTATTCTTTATACATTTTACATACTTTGGTCCTGAGCTATAAAAATACAAATACAAATTTATAAAATTATTTATTTTAAAAATTAGGTACATAAAATACAACAATTCTTATATAGTTTATAATTTTACCTAGATACTTGTTCTAAACCTATAATATATTATTTTATAAAATTTGAAACAGACAAAATGTTTTAATACTTACGATATTTTGGCAAAAAGTCATCAATATAATAAACGGAAATACTCGTATATATTACTCGTGAGTTCCACGAGTATTTTTTACGAGTACATTGAATTTGGTTTGTAAGTACGAGTAATTAGTATTTCAAATGAAAAATACTTATGAGTAAAAAAGTACTCGTACTTTTATTCTCGTAATTGAAATACGAGTAAAAGTACTTAGTACTTAACCAGTTCTGCATAATATTATGATTATAAGAGTCAGAAATTCACTTTTTTCTCGATATTATCTGTAAATATTTGAAAATTTTCAGAAAAATTGACTTGCATTTTTTTGTGTTACCCTTTGAATAAAATTTAAAAAATAAAAAGTCAATTTTTCTAAAAAAAATTCAATTTTTTCGTTTTTTACCGAAAAAAAACGGGTTTTTCCGGAAATTTTAAAACCCTAATCATGAAAAATATTTTAAGTAAATTATATTATTTTATCCAACACATGACAGTTATGACTGTCATTATTAATGTCATTTTAGACAAGTGAACTATCAAATAACACACTAGTGTGTTATATTCCATAACACACTAGTGTGTTATATTCCATAACTCACTAGTGAGTTATGGATTGTAAGTCACGTTCATATTTAAAGAAGTATTTTATTTATTTATTACTATTACAAGCAGAATTCACATTGATATTGAAATTGAAGGAAAACGCTAACGGTTTATTCGAATTTGAAGTCATTGTAAAATGATTCGTTGGTTTATTGGAACCAGACGCCCCCATATCGGTACAGCTGCTGATAGTGCTGGAAGACGCCGACGCATTAGAACCTTGTATTTTTTCTGCAATTTGTATATTGTTATGCACCGATTCTTCTAGGTATCCTTCTGCTACCGTAGAGGACTTCCATCCTCCGTGACGCTTCAAAGTAGTCATGTTAGCCCCTGCATTGGCCAAAAGAGTCGCCGAAGACCTTCTCGGTACAGCTGCTGATAGTGCTGGAAGACGCCGACGCATTAGAACCTTGTATTTTTTCTGCAATTTGTATTTGTTATGCACCGATTCTTCTAGGTATCCTTCTGCTACCGTAGAAGACTTCCATCCTCCGTGACGCTTCAAAGTAGTGATGTTAGCTCCTGCATTGGCCAAAAGAGTCGCCGAAGACCTTCTCAGGCAGTGACCGGTATAGAGCGCTGGTTCCTCCAACTTCAAAAACATTGCAATTCTTGAAGGTACCTTCGACAACGTATTTATTCCCACACACTGGCTGGTACACCTCCCATTTTTGTAAAAAACAAAAAAGCGTCTAGAACTAGTATTCTTTGGTCTCAAAGACATATATTTTTTACACAAATTGATCGGGTTGACTGGAAATCCTTCCTCAAGTATGGTGAAACTTCTCAATTTCTTGGTTTTAGTGTCTGGCAAAACTACGTGAAAATATTTTCCTTTGTCTTGAAAATTTTCTATTTTCAAATTGACCATTTCATCGCATCTACAAGCACCGCTAATCCCCATTATCAAAGCCACTTTCATCAACAGGTACTCGTCGTCGGGAGCTTCGTTTAAAAACTTCTGTATTTCAGGTCGTTCAAATGTCTTGGACTTCTTTGGTTTGTATCCCTGTAATTTGCTTTTCAAAAAGCTCGTTAGTTTGCCATATTTTGAAATGTCGATTTTTTTATAAAGGCGAATAGTCAAGCGAAGCATCGAGTATTTGGTCCATATCGACGATGAAGATAATTTTTTTTGCATATGTAAAAAATAAGCCAATAGAACATTTTCATCGAGACCTTTTATCTTCTGTGAATTCATACAAGACTTAAACTTCTTGTCGTAAGCATCTCGGGACTTTTCTGGCAAAATCTGCATCGCTGCTTGTTCCGCTTCCGTAAAGATATCCTCAGGAACGTAATTTTCATAGGTTTCCTCAATTTTCTATACGTTTTTTTCTTCAAAAAAGCTTTCTTTTTCTGCAGGGAAAACTGACAAGTGTCAAATGTATCATGTCCGTGGCAGCCAAACAAACAACCTACTTTGAACAAAATGTAAAAAAGTCACTGTCAAGTCATTCTGACATTTATAGGCAAGTATAGTCGTCGCGGTTCCTTGGATTATATACGTAAAAGAAAAAAACAATAATTATAATGTCTGGGCTTGCTTCAAAATTTAAGGACGCAATTTGAAACATTCGCCGCGACAGCTATAGCTTTGATTTGATCACAAAGCTTATTAATTATTATCTCATAAAAAACGATTTCTTCCACTTGTTGGATAAAACATTGTATGCCACTCGTGTGTTATGTTTCCTAAGTCACTTGAGAATTTATACCACTCGGTCTGACTCGCGTGACTTATTTTCAACATAACACACTAGTACAGTAGTAAATAACTATTAATCCGTTAAAGCGTGTTTATTAATTCTTTTAATTATAATTTTTTATAAAAAAATATAAAGAGGATGTTTGGGAGGTAATATGTTTTTTTTTGATATTTTAGAAAGTACATTTAGTTTGTTAGATTTGATATTAAAATGGGGAATGAAGTTGGGATAAAATTCAAGGGTAATTAATGTATATAATATATATATATATATATATATATATATATATAAATAATGAACGAGCGTTCGGCACCTATTGAATAATTACATTTTTTTTTTAATTTATCAATTTTAATTTTTTTATTATATTGCAATTAAATTACCAATTTTACTTTTTCACTCAAAATTTTCAGCTTTAGTTTTGATTTTTTATTTTTAATTTAGTAATATTTAGTTTAATTTAAAAATTAAGGTTAAAACATTTAGTTTTATTTTTAGATTTTTACAAGTAATATACCTACCTGCACTGAACTTTAAATTAATAGACTATAAACTTAAAATTTGGTAAACCTTCGACAAAGTAAGCGATTCAGGGTAATAAATAAATTCGTGGCCTTACTGAAGATTCGCAAAATATTGAATTCTCTAAATGTTAATTGTTTAACACCTAGGTATTTCATTTCCTAACTTTAATTGGTGGGTGAAATTTAACATCTTCCACTAGTTGGCGAAATAGCATTTCACCCACGGGCTGACTTTAAGTTAAATTTGGAAAAAAGTGAGGTTAAAACTAATTGAGAGCTGTCAGATAAAAAATCAAATAAAATTGGCTTAAAATTCCTTTTATTTTAAGTACATAAATTAATAAATAAATAAGAAAAAACATCTATTATAAAACAAAAACACAATTCTTAAAATAAATTAACAAAATAAAATTATAATTAAATGAAATATTATTGTATAATATCGCAGCAAAACAATAACTTGTTTTATTTAATTTTATTTTGGTTAGTTGACTGATCAATTGTACAAAAACAACTTAACCGGTCAATTTCACAACCCTAGTCTTATGTGTTGGTTGATTGTTGATTTTTATACGATTTAAATTAAATAATAAATAAAATTTCCTAATTATATTTTAAATAATTTACAGCAAAATATTACACCCTTGGGCGTTTGAAAATTCTTAGACGTTTTCTAAATAATAATTATTACAATAATAAGAAAAATACTTATCTTTATTTATGTTAATGTGTACCTACAGTTACTTTAACAAAGTTCAAAAAAATAGAAACTAAAACATTTAAGGATACAAAAATAATACAGAAATTTAAAATAAAATTAATTAGAACATGGTACCCATAGTACCTATAAGTATACTTAAGTATATTAATATTTTTATTTAAAAATACATTTTAATAACGATAAATAAATAATTCATGCAAATCAACAATGGTTAATTATTCTATAAGTAAAGAAAAGTGATAGATTTATGGGTCGTTGTCAAATTTTGCGCAGGTAAACTAGTCCCTGAGTCGTGTAATTTTTTAATTAAGATTATATACACATCATCGTATAAAAAATACATTAATAAACACTGATTAATAAAATTAAGACTAAGTTTTGGTATTTTTAGTTTTTTTTTTAAGTAACATTGTGGTTGTTTCTGGTAACAGAGCGGTATTCCTTACAAAATCTGTATGTCCCCAGTAGGACTCTGTTACGAAAAGATTACAATAATGTTATTTATACTATGTGAACATACTTTAAATAAATTATAACTACAAACAGATTATGGTTAATATTACAAAATATGTCTCAAAACCGGTAAGTATTACAATCCTAATTAATAATTATTTTCTAAAACTTGGTCCCGCGTATGGTGTGAAACGACTGGAATGTCATGTTACCAATTAATTCACAACGCAAAATAGAGATGGCGCTGCTTAGATTTTGTAGTAGATTGAGCGGTAAGTTGGCATTCATTGTGGATGATCGGGAGATCGGGTGGCGGGGTACGGGAGGTGTTAGTCAACCGCGAGGCGTGGAGTAGATAAACGTATTTTTAATTTATTTTATGTTCAGTATGTTGTCAAAGTGGCAATTAATCTAAATATGAAAGAAATATTGTTGTTTTAATCATTACTTTATGATTTATGTCTTATAGTATGTAAAATTTACTACTCTGTTACTACGCAACTCTGTTACTACAGGGTAACAGAGTTGTTAACAAAGTAACAGAGTGGAATTATTACTAAATTCTTTAACTTTGCACTTAAATTTCATGCTTAAAACGTATTTTTTTAATAAATGGATTTTTTATGTTATATTTTATTTGCATAGTAAGTATAAATGAAATATATATTAGTTCAATAAACTCAAAAACTTTGTTTCAGGTTAAGTACTGTGTTTCTTCGACATTTCGAGATGCCTCTCACGCCTGCTGAGAAACAGCGACGGTATCGTGAACGGCGTAAAAATAATCCTGAAAAAGAAGCAGAATCTAGAAGAAAAGATCGAGAGAGATACCATGCAAAAAAATGCTTAGTGCGAGATTTATCAGCTAGTGAACATAGAGCGATAAAAAAGAAATGGCGATCTGCAAATGCTAGACGTAAAAATAGTCCAGCCCCTTCAGATCAACATCAGCTTATTCCAAATGCTGATCATCGTTTATCTACGCCACAGCCATCTGATTCCCGTGAATTAACTCTCAGCTCTATCATATCAACAGCTTCTCGCGGCAGAAAGAAAGTGCATAGAAATAGATCCAAGTTATTCAGAGACAACATAAAATTAAAGGAACAGTTAGAAGCAATAAAGAAGAGATCCGAAAAGTACAAAAAAAGGTACAATAGAGAAAAACGTAAAAGATCTAAAATTGAAGGTGGCAGTCAAGAAAATCAAAAGAAATACGAAATTTTATCAAATGCTATTAAAAAACGTTACCAAAATATAAAAAGCCGGAAGGAGAAATATGCTATTCAGAAGATATTTGAAGAACAGGCTGTAAAATGCTCTAGACAAAAGAAACAACTAATTCAAGAATGTCTTGCTGTGGACCAAGGCTACATACGAAAAACACAGCCTCTGCTTAAGAAAAAAGCTCTAAGTACCAAAATTAAAGATTTTTTTGAACGTGACGACATATCAAGAGCGACTGCTGGGAAAAAGGAAACCGTTTCTCTTAAGAAAAATAAAATGCAGAAGCGCTACTTACTTGATAACATGAAGAACCTTTACCTATCCTTTAAACGTGAAAATCCTGCATTGAAATGCAGCTACAAAACTTTTACACGATACCGACCATTTTATGTTTTGCTTCCGACTGTTGCTGCCAGAGATACATGTTTATGCCGAATCCACACTAATATCCAATACTTAGCAATTGCTTTGTGCAAAAACAAGATGATACCAACCTCAGATCTAAACAAGATTATTGCAAACCAAGTGTGCGACTGTGATTCACCAGCGTGTATGACAGGAATTTGCTCTGTATGTCAATCAAATACAACAAATTATGATACATCCAAAGATGAAATAGTTATAAAATATCCTCAGTGGTTAACTAAAACTGAAGTGATAGAGAAGTCAGGAAAGAAAATTAAAGTTACAAAAAGTATCAAAGAGGAGAAAGAGAGTACAGGAAAAGATTTGATAGATAAGTTTGAAGCTACACTGAAGGAATTTAAAAGGCACATATATTACATTAAGACACAGTACAGAAACTACAGAAAATGCATAGATGACTTGGGCATAAATGAAATTGCGCTTCATATTGATTTCAGTGAAAATTATAGTTGCAAATTTTTTGAAGAAGTACAATCTCATCATTTTGGAGGCTCCCGAAATCAAGTATCCTTACATACGGGAGTGATGTATAGTCGTGGCTCAAATAATAAGATAGATGTATCATCGTTTTGTACCCTGTCTGGAAACCTTTTACACAACCCAGCTGCAATCTGGGCTCATCTCCACCCCATATTTGCTTCAATTCATGACAAATTTCCTAAAGTTAATATCCTGCATGTATTTTCAGACGGCCCAGCCACTCAATACCGCCAAAAACAGAACTTTTATCTGATTTGCACAAAACTATTCTCCGAGTACAAGTTCACTAAAGTTACGTGGAATTTTTTTGAAGCGGGCCATGGCAAAGGTGCAGCAGATGGGATAGGCGGATTTTTGAAACGTACTGCTGACCAACTTGTTGCACGTGGAACTGACATATCTGATGCTACAAATTTCTATCTTACTTTGAAAAATGTTAGTAAAGTTAGATTACATCTGATAACCAATGAAGATATTGAGCAAAGTTCAAAGCAGATCCCGGAGCATATCCTACCGTTACTAGGTACCATGAAAGTCCATCAAGTTTTCACTGAGGAGGTTGGAGTTCTCAAGTATAGAAATTTGAGTTGTTTTTGTCAGCGTGGCTTTTGTTCTTGCATGAATCCCAAGCGCTATGTTCCATTACAACATACCGTGGAAAAATCAATTTCTTCCGCTTGCGACAACAGTTATCTGTCTGATATTAGTAACCTTTGCCAAAAGCGAGTTAAAGGGTTTTACAGCATTGTCTACAATTCAGATTCCGAAGATGATGTTCCTCTAACATCATTAAAAGAAAAATCTCCCAACGCTTATTTGACAGAAGAACCCAGCACATCAAAGCAAAGTGACGATGCTTTGATTGAGAAGGAAAATATTCACATTAATAAGATAAAACAAGGTGTTTGTGTCTTGGTTAAAATGTCCAGCTCAAAACAAGACTACATATATTTGGGTAAGGCCTTATCTGAAGTTGAAGATGATGGTGAGGTTAAAATTATGTTTTTTAAGTCAATGGATCATACTGCAACCAAATTTAAATTAGTTGAGTCTGATTTATCTTATGTGCCCTTTGATAATTTAATTGCTATTGTTCCAGAACCTAAAAAATTATGTAAAGGTTCAAGAATATCCTACTACCAATTTGATACTCCTTTAAACATATTTGAGAAATAAGCGACTTTCACTTTTCAGTTACTTTTTTTAGATTTTTTTATTTTTGTTTTGATAAAGTTAAGTATATATTGCTAAATACCGGCAATAACGTTGTTATTAATATTAAAGTTTATGTTAATAATTCTGATCTCAACCCCAACAGAGTCTGATTTAGTCAAGTAAGATAAGAAAAATAACAACTATGTTACTGCGCTACAACTCTGTTACTTTTCTGTCCCAAAGACTAATTAAGATTTTTATAAAAAGTTACTTGTTATAGTATGGTAATATAAAACTACTTTAACTTGTTAGATATTTTTACAGTTATATATTGCAGTTAGCAGTTAATATATAAATATTTAAAGTATTTCAGTACCATTTAATGTTTGCAAACATTTAAAAAGTAACAGAGTTGTTTAGAATATAAGTTAGTGATTGTTAAACTTAAAAAAAATGGTATGATTCCAAATATAATTATAAGATAAAACACTGTAGTTAACATTAATGCAATAATAATTGCAATTGAATTGTTAAATTTCATAATAAAAGTTAATACGTTGTGATAACAGAGTTGTATGTTTTTTATACCCTAGCCCACAAAATCTGGAATAAATCATTAATTACTAGTTAAACATCGCGGCCGACAGTAACAGACCATGTTCAGTTGTTTTTATAGGCATTGACAAAAAGAAAACTCGAGTATAAGTATTTTTATTTTTTTATAACTTTATCATTTTTGGTCACCATTACCTGCGCTTACTTTGACAATGACCCTTATATTTAATGGAAATATAAAATTTCCACGAGATAGAAAAATTGGAGTGCACCCATTAACCACGCTGTTTTGTCATATTTTTAATGGGATAGTACATTGCATATAGAATTGCATATGGGGATAGGCGGCGATTTCTGAAGAGTGTGAGGTTTGCTGCACGAGCGACGCGAGTATAGAACACACTGTTTGGAAACCACTAAATATGTACACTATTTTTTATGACAAAACGGAAATTCGACTTTCGCAGCCTTTTGAGGGAGAAAACACAAAAAAAATATACCAAACTAAAGACAATAATTGGCTTAATTAATAATATTAATTATTAAAGAACTTATGTTAAGCGAAAGTCGAATTTATGCTGCGCGTTTCATGAAAAAGCGTTGATTAATATAATAATTTTCTTTACGATTTTTAAAATGTGCTTAATAAAAGTATTGCTTGGTTAAAAAAGTGTTGCTAATCAGAAAAAGTGTACTTTTCTTTACTATTTCTCTTAATAAAGTAAGTATGCTCTTTTTCAATAATGATAATTAATTATTCATGTTAAAATGTATAATAAGAAAAAAATAGAAACTAAAACCTTAAAGGTTAAAAAATAATAGGGATATTTAAAATTTAATAAAAAATTAATTAAAACCTAGTATTTGTTTTTTTTAAACCGCACATTTCTAATACAGATATTATTTTATAAACATGCAAAATACCAATACTAAAAATTACATAGAAGAACAATCACATGTTAAAAATTCATTTATGTCTTATTAAAGTTGACTCTTTTATTTCATTTGGAACTCTTTTATAAAATAATAATAATAATCTTTATTTAGTTCAAAATGCATTATACATAGGTACCATTGGGTGTAGAACACGTCACAAAAATAAACAAGGAATAAACTAATACAAACTTACATGCACAGCATAAATTAAATAAAATAGGTAACAAAGAATATATATATAAAAAAATAACTACATAAGTACAATAGAGAAATCAAAATTGTCGTCCTTCAAAAACTCATCTATTGAATAATAACACTTATTGACCATAATATTCTTTAAAGTCCTTTTTAATGTTTTTTCAGGAAGATCTCTTATTTCAAATGGAATTCTATTGTAAATTCTTATCACAGAGTATGGAACATTTTTTTGTAAATAAAGATAATTTAATCTATCACAGTTTAAATTCTTTTTAAAGCGAGTGCTGTAATCGTGACTGGTGTTAAATTTTTCAAACATATTTTGATTTCTCTTCGCAAATAAAATTGATTCATATATAAAAATACAATAAACAGTTAAAATTCTAAAGTTAATAAAATAATCTTTACATGATTCGAGTTGATTTAATTTAAAAATACTTCGAAGACATCTTTTTTGTAAAACAAAAATTCTATTTATATCTGGTGAATGAATCCAAAATATAATTCCATACCTTATTTTTGATTGGACGTATGAGTTAAATGCTGTTATTGCTGCATTTACATTTATTAAATTAGTTATAATTTTTAAAGCAAAGCAATATTTACTTATATTGGATGCGATGTTTTCAATGTGTTGCCTCCAATCGAGTCTGCAATCAATTTGTAGACCAAGGAAGTTAACAGATTTTGAAATGTCAATGGAATTAATTTCTCGTATCAATGAATTCTTAGTGTTTCTATTAAACCTTAAGAGTTGTGTTTTCTCAATGTTTAATTTTAAATGATTTTGATTGAACCATTCGTTTAACAATATTAGACTGTTTCCTATCTCGCTGGAAGCAGTTTTTAAAGAATTTGTAGTAAAAACAAGAGAGGTGTCGTCTGCAAATTGAATGACTTTTTGTGGAACTACACTAGGTAAATCATTTGTATAAATAATGTACAAGAGAGGACCCAGTATAGAACCCTGTGGTACTCCTCTTTTTATAATAAGGTTATTAGACCGTATTTTTTCCCCGTTTAAATCTTTATCACACACACATTGATATCTATTTTCAAGATAAGTTTGAAATTTTTTTAAGGATATTCCCCTTATCCCGTAGTTTTCCAGCTTACTTAAAAGGATTTGATGGTCCACTAAATCAAATGCTTTAGATAGATCTAATAAAAATGTTTCTTTATTTAAATTTTCTGAACTAATTACGGAACATAAAGCATCATCACTGCTCTAATAGTGGATCTTTTTTTCCTAAAACCATTTTGACTTTCAGTAATAATATTGTGTTTATCGAGAAATTGAATAACTCTGTGATATATCACTTTTTCAAAAACTTTGCTAAAATTACTTAATAACGCTATGCGTCTATAGTTATTAATTTTATTTTTCTTACCTTTTTTATAAATAGCTTTTATTTCAGCATGTTTTAACTTATCAGGAAAAATACCTGAACTTAAGGTGCAATTTATAATGTAAGATAGGGGTTCTGATATTTCAGTCGCTATATGCTTAATTATTTTTATTGGCATTTCGTCTATACCTGTAGATTTTGTATTTTTTAAAGAAGATATAATATTTTTAATTTCGATGCCAGTTGTCGGAAACATAAATATACTATTTTTATTATTATTCTTATTTAGCGTTTTTAAGGGTAAGGGTAAATTTGGTTTAAGGTCTTGCATTGTAAAATGATTATTTGCCATGTTTAAAACGGTAAATGCATTATTATTAAAATTGTTTAATATGCCTTCGTTTTTGTTAGGCTTTTTGTTGATGTGTGTTTTACCAAGTTCCAAACAGCTGATGTTTTATTTTGCGAATTATTTACCTATATAATATGAGTTTGACATTACTTTGGCAGCTTTAATAACCTTTTTTAAAATATTGGAGTATTTGTTGTAATAGTTTTTATCAACTTTTCCCTTGCACATTTGAAGATACAATTCTCTTTTATTTTTACTAGATATTTTAATTCCCCTCGTAATCCATTTTAAATTATTCGTGTTGACAAAATTTTTATAAACAAAAACATCTTGTATTAATATTGTTAATTTTTCATTAAAAATATTATAACATAAATTTACTTCATTTTTTGAGTAAATTTCATCCCATGATTCTTAGGTGCATTAAGTATATTTGGAATCATTTCTAGATCTATTAATCCTTTAACATATAAATTTAAAAATATTACGGAAATTTAATTCATTTATATCATGGAATATAAAAACAGTTTTAAAATTTTAAACATAGGTACTTACGGTAACTAAAGAAACTCAATATCACAACACATTTCAAATTTGTATAAATTTTCGTAAAACTCAAAAATTAAATTGAAATTTTTCGAAGTATTCATCAAAAAATGTTAAAATTAGTATGCATTTAAGTTTGACGATGAATATCTTTTAAACGCTTAATTTAATCGACAAATCATAAGAGACCATTTTTGTAGAGCAGTTAATTTCCTACAAAACTATGAATTGCGCGATTCATACAAATTTTTTGTAAGCGAATTATAAAATTCATAAGCAAAACAGAAATTTCTCTTAAAATAATTAAACTTTAACCTTCGATATCTTTTTAACGGTGGGGTTTACGAAAAAATTGTAAGATACCTTTTTTGTAGAGCGTTCGAATTTCTACAAGAATATAAGGAGAGTTATTTTTTAACGAACAGTTGTCGAGGAGATATAAATTTTTGTTTCTAATACTGAGGAAAAAATGGAAAATTGTAAAGCGGAGGACCTTGTTATCAAAATTAAGAGCTCATGTTTGGTGAGAATTCTCTAGAGGTGTCTAGTAACCGATTTTTCAGAGTACAAAGTAAAAAAAAAATAGTCGGTGTTTTTGACCCACCCTAATATATACAGTGTGGAACTCACTTATGGAATAAAATTCGTTACCTATTCGTTGAGAAAAGATTTTTATGAAAAACGCTCGCACACGTAAACTTATGTTTTTTTTCCAAATCATATAATGATAATTTTAAATTTTATGCCCCGCAAATTAGGCACCCTTATCTTAAATAACAACCCCACTTTTTTTCATCGAAAATTGATAGTGCATATTTTTTGAGTATGACGATACCATATAAGTAGGGTTTAGTAAACAGTTTTCAATACAGGGTGGAAATATAATGACAAATTAAAAAACTAAACTTTTTATTTTAAAATTAATTAAAAATTCAAAAATAAACTGTTCTTCAATCTTATAAATGTTCAAAATGTCCCCCGTCCACTTCCTGACACTTTAGTAATCTACTGTGAAATTGTTCCCGCACTCTCACTGTTTAAGACCTCCGGTATTATGTTCCTAATTTCTCCAGTAATTCTATTTC